GTTCATAGACGCAAGATCAGGAAACAGGCATTTTTGGAGAAAGACTGGCATGCAGACACGAAGGCAGCGCTTAGGCATAAGAGAAAGGAGCCAGCCCATGCTCAGAGGGACCTAACTCCTGGAGCTATATTTTGGGGGGATGTTGTTACACTGGCTACTGTTATCCAGGGACTTCAAAGAGCAAGGACACCTTCCCTGACTAGTTCTCCTGACAATCAAGACAAGAAAAAGACATAATAGAAGCAAACATCTGTCCAATATCTCTGATGAATTGGCAAACATTTTTAGACAAAAACTTTAGCAAATCCATCCAAGCATCCACTTAAAATAAGCAGGGTCAGTCCCAGGAATGGGAACTGAGCGTGGGTTTTGAAGATCAATCAGTGCAGTGGTTGATGTGGAACTGTAATATCAGTGATTAACTATAAAGAGAAAGCTGTAAGTAGATGGATTTTGGCAATACCTAACATCCATTCCTGATTATATATGTAGAAAACCAAAAGCAACTTCTCAGTGCCAGCGCAGTGACTTGCATAGGTGAAAATGCTTGCCAAGCAAACCTGATAATTTGAGTTTGATCCCCGAATTCACAGTGGAAGGAGATAATCAACTACCTCAAATTACCCTCTGAACTCTCATGGCATACATGCTCCTGTACTCATACATACAGATCACTGTTACACACACACACACACACACACACACACACACACACACACACACACTCATACATGCGCTCACGCGTGCGCGCACACACACAAACCACTTTTTTTTTTTTTAAAAAAAGAAAAGCTATGTTGAACAGATAGTAGGGAACCTCTCAATTGATCAGGGCTTTCCACAAAGATGGCTCTGGCAATATAAACTGTAAAAGACTGACTGGAAGAGCTGATGAAGCAGGAAGAGCTACTGTGGACCACACAGCAAGCACAGTCACCCCAGAAATGTGACAGTGATGGTCTCCAGGCATGGAGATATGGGCAACTCTTAGGTGATTTTTTTTTCTGTCTTTGATAAATACATTTTTGTGGAACATGCTATTTCCCATGTCACCTGAGAAACAACCATCCCAAAGGGGTCCCTCTACAGGGCTTTCCTTTTTTGCATTTTGTAAAGTTTGAGTGTTTTGTAAGAAGATTGAGTTTCTCTTAAAATATGGAATAGGGCCCATGAGATGGCTCGGCGGGTAAAGGTGCTTGCTGCACAAACCCGGCCACTTGAGTTTGATCCCTGGAACCCATGGTGGAGCAAGAGAACTGAATCCTCAAGGGTTGTCCTCTGCCTCCCAATAATGATGATAAGTTAAGTAAATGAAAGCAAAACCCAAACCAACAGGCAATCAAGAGTGTGGCCTGAGACTGAAGTAACAGGCTGGATGGTCTTTGAAGACCCAGGGAGGCTGATGTGGGAGCGGCGGTAGCCAGGGCGCTGATACCCAGTCCTACTGCATTTTACTCATCATGTTTTTGTCAAATCTGTGCTTTGGCTGGACACACAAACCGTGTTAATAATTGTAGTTAATACATGGAGCCGTCTCAGAACATTCGACAGTAGACTGAGCTCCTTAATCCTGTGAAGGCAGTTTGGGATCTCTAATTACTTGGATGAAAAAAGGCAGACACTCGGGGCTGCAGCAGTGTTTGGGAATTAATCTTTAAAGCCTGACAGTGAACATTCAATTCAATTAGGGAGAGCAATTGGCGAAGATTCCTCTCGCCTTCGCCCCTGGTAGCAAGCCCGGACTGACTGGTCCTCATCTATCCTGCTGCCGTCATCAGCAGAGCGCCTTAGCAGACAGGTGTGCAACTTCACCTAGCGGAGACGACATGTCACACCTTTACCAGCTCTGTCTCCTTGGACACCACTGCCCAAGAATCCTAGCGCACTGTGCTGCCCTCAGGCATCTTGGGGTCTAAACGTTCTTCTGCTTTCTTCCCAGTTCCCTCCATCTGCTCCATGTCCCTCCCTGCCTTTTCCCTCTCATCTCTTTGCCCCGCTCCTTTTTCTTCTCCCTCCTCTCTAACTCAACACCTTACTGCACATCACAAAAGGTTTATATGTAAGTGCGTTGTACTTGGAAGTATAGGGCAGGGACTTCCCCACTCTTCCTTCTCATGGCTTCCCTCACTCAGTGCTGTGCTCTGGCCTTGCTTCCAGCTTGGTTCTTTTAGAGCTGGCCATTCTCCTTGCTGCTCAGACCCCAGACCTAAGGTGGTCCTGTTCTCTCTGACTTCTCTACTGCCTTCCCTCTAAGGGGTTCCTATTGCTTCTGACTCCCATATGGACCCCTGTCCCCACTGCTGCTACCTCTGTCCCAAATTCCTACATAAGCCCGTGCATCTTCTTCCTTCCTGCAGGGCAGCTAAAGGGGTCGTGTGGGCTGGAGCCGGCTACCCCCTCCCCCAGGAGACCCCGAATGCTCTACTGCCATAGAGACACTCTCACCATGCCCCTTCTTGTCACATCCTGTTCACCTCTCTGGCCAGACTGACTGGCCTTTGTGATGTTGCATACTCAGGCATACTCAGGCAGAATTCTTTTCTCACCCCTTCGCGTGGCCACCCTCCCAGCCCCTTCTCTTGGCTTTGGAGCCCCCTTTCTTGCTGACCTTGGACCATCAGTCTTAGTGCCTGATACACTCCTTCTGCTGATTTGTATGGGCCCTGTCTTCCTGACGGTAAGGTCAGTTCTTGGAAGGCAAGCGTTTGATTTTGGTTGTTTCCTGTGAGCAGTGCTGGCTCGCTAATAAGCACCCAGGAGTGTTTGTTGAATGAGTAAGTGGAAGAGCTTCACAGAGGCAAGCATTGGACACCATTGTTTCAGAGCCGCTGTCTTTCTCCCTGTTCCCCTCACGTGCTACTCTCTGTCTCAGGAAGGACTGAGCAGTGTTCATAGCTCCTGCCAGTCCTAGGAGCAACATCCTGAGCTTGGTTTAGGGTCTTACTGAAAATGCATGAGTAAACAATGTGTGTGTGTCTGTGTGTTAAAAAACACAGTGAAATATAACAAACTCTACGACTGTAGCTGGGTTTAGGGCTGCAGTTCATGCTGTTGGCCGGCTTGGCTGCACCCATCCCCAGGACGCCTCTTACTCTGCCCACTCCACGCACACTCCAGTCTTCCAGCTCCTGGCAGCAGCCTTTCTGTTTCCTGTCTGTGATTCTGACTACTCAAGAAGCAGCAGGAAGGGAAACCATCCAGCATCCATCCTTTTGGGGCTGGCCTGCCCCACCGAGTACAGTGTGATCAAGGTTTCTGCGCATTGTGGCTGCTGGGGGGGGGGGGCACTGCCTAGAGGCACTCCACTGTGTGGGCCGATTCCATTGTGTGTCCGCAGACTCTCATCTGTCTGCGGACAAGTGGGCTCCTTCCACCCTCTACCCATATAAATAAGGGCAAAACTTCCTTGAGACCCCAGTACCAGATGTTTGAGTTTCTTCTCAAAGTGGAATTGCTAGGTTTCATGGTAACCCTACAGGTTTCTGGCAATCGCTGAGTTGCTGTTCATCATGACTCTACTATCCTGCCTTCCTGCCAGCATTGTAGGGGGTTCTGATTTCCCCACATCCATTCCAAAGCCTGTTATTTTTGTTTCTGTTTTTTATACCAGCCGGCCTAATTAGTATGATGTTGTAGTTCATGTGTCTTAGGAAATGCCGTCACACTTTGTAAACGCGGCTTGTCCTGTGTGCTCGGTGTTGGCCTCTTCCTGCCTTGTGTGAGCCCCGCAGAGCCTCACTTGCTCACTTAGTTTTTCTGTTAGCGCCATACCTGTGCATAATTCCAAAGAAGCAGCCATGTTCTGCCCTCTGCTGCCCTGCTGCCAATCCCCTACACTCCTCAGCCTTCTGGCTGCTCCTATTAGTTCCGTGTTTTTAAACATGACTACTGCTGCCTCTTGGTCTTAGTCTTCTTAGTTTGAGACCTAGCTGTTGACCCCTGGCACAGAAGGGGAGACTAGAAGGGCCCTCCCCACATTCTGTAGGACCTTTTCTTCATGACCTCTTGTTCGGGTGAGCATAGACGTGTACATATTCCCGGAAACCTTTCAGAACTCAGCAATTTGAGAGCCTCTAAGACTTGGCAGGTAGAGTTAGCTCATCACTAGTGGAAGCTGCCCTAGGAGCAGGTTTGTGGAAGTGCGTGGGTGTACTTGTTTGGGCTTTTCTAGAACTTACTCAGGAAAATCTGGTGCCAGTGATAACTCAGGGAATCTTGCTGTTTCAGACCGCTAATCCCCTCATGCCCTGCCCAAATCTACTGTTGCTCCTGCTGCAGAACCGCCCCTGCTCCGGCCTCACTCCTGTCTGGGGGCAATGCTTTTGTTTCCTCTTCATGGAGTGAGAAACTTAGGCTCAGTGAGGTGGAGCCCCTGGATCACAGGACCACATGACCAGCAAGATGCAGTGTCAAGGGGAGCGTCTACAGTGTGTGCCCTTTACCCTGTAGTGATAGTGAGGAGAACCAGCTCCAAACACCTCTGTGGCCAGGCCTTCCAACTGTGGTACTGTAGCGCTCCTGCCTGGGCTTGTATGCCACTTGGAGTCAGCTGTGTACTGGACAGTCTTCTGGGAGCCTCATTCCCCAATGGGTAGGCAGGATGAAGGTGAGGGGCAAGGACCCCTCTCCTAAGAAGACACAATCGCTCCGAATCTGTTCCTTATACTTTATGACTGGCCCCTGTCTGCTTTGACTGTGGCCTGGCCACGTGCTCTGTCTGCTCCAGAATAAGTAGCTGGCCAATGGAGGCTGGGGCAGGACTGTGACATGTTTGGAGCCAGCAGGTAGGAGAGGTGTGAGGTTGAGTGGAGATAGGGAATGCTGTTTTCTTAGCCCCAGAGAAAGGAAGTCTGCACATTTCTATGAGGAGAGAGAAAGTGACTACAACTTTTGTTTTGATGTGGAATAATAGGAACCCCGTTTCCCAGGAGCCCCTTGCTGACCTGGAGCTCAGCACTCACCACAGTGTCTGACGCTGCCTCTCTGTGTTTCCCTTGCAGGTGTGGAATGCTGTGGACTCGGGGCACTGCCTGCAGACCTACTCTGTGCACAGTGAGGCGGTACGGGCTGCGCGGTGGTCTCCCTGTGGCCGGCGCATTCTCAGTGGCGGCTTCGACTTTGCCCTGCACCTAACAGACCTCGAAACAGGTGTGTCCTGATGTCTCACAACCCCAGGTTAGCCCTCTCCCTGGAAAGCCTCTCCAGAGGGTCCTGATTGCAAACCACCCATAGTCATGGTGTGGTGAGGGCCGCAGGACAGACTCATTTCCCTGACGGGTGTGCAGACCATTTGCAGTGGTACTGTAGCTGTTGACAAAGTCCTGGGACCAGTCCTCTGCCAGTCAGCAAAGGACAGCCACTGTTGTCTCAGCCCCAAGCTGCCGGGCCGGATGAAGAGGCAGCTTTTTAATCAACTTCTGCTGTGTAATTTGGACCAAAATATCACGGTGTCCTGTGGTTGGCATCAGTTTAGAATTCCTCTCAGTCCATGGGGTGGAACTAAGTTCCGTAGGGAACTCTTCAGAGGGGCTTTTCCCAGTATTTATAGTGAGAGGCCCTCAGGCAAGGGGGTTTCATGTAGGAAAATCCTCAGGAAGCCTCCATTAGTTAGGGAAGGAGGGAGCAGCCAGCAAGAGGAGCTTTCCCAAGCAGGGTCGATACAGCAGTCCCGGGTTGGGCCACTCAGTGACGGCAAGGGAGACTGGGGACTGTTGAATATGGAGTCTAACCTATAGTATCCAACTCAGCCCTGGCTTCCTGGATTCTCATTCTGGCTGTCAGCAGCAATGGGCCCTGAGGCCTGACAAGTTAGGGACTCGTGACTGTGGGTGACTGATGATGAGTCTGGGGCAGCCGTGGGATGTGGTCCTCTTTGTGTTCCAGCTAGGAGGACCTGGAACTGCATCTGCTATCATGTGACATGTGGCTCAATGAAGGGGTGGGAGAGGAGGTGCTTGTTCCGTCAGGTGTGCTGAATCATGGAGGGTGGCGTGCTGCCAGGGCTCCTAGGGGCTCTTGTGTGCAGAGTAGGTATAGAGAGGCAGGGCCCCACTTCTAAGTGCTGCTGTCCAGTGGGGAGCGATGGAAGGCTTTCTTCATCTTCCTTTACCAGGAATGGTGTCTGCATGGGGCTCATCTACTGCAGAACTGTTTTCATTCCTTTAATTTGCTACATATTATACACATACCATGTGCATGGCCTGTGCTGGGGTGTGCTGGGTGTCCTGTTCCTGCAGAGGGCAGAGTTGATGGTTTGGATCTCAGCTCCAGAAAGGCCTCTGGACCCCAGATGAGGCCTCTCCTGTGAGGATAGCTGGCATTTCTGTCTGTGTCCTGGCAAGCGTGTGTCCCCAAGGACGGACCCATTCTGGTGGTCTCTTTGTCATTGCTTGGACGAGGCTGGCTCGAAGATGCATAATTGGAGAGCTGAGGCTGGCCTCTGCCGTCCTCCTATGCTGAGTAATGAAGCTCCCAGGGCTGCTGGGGTGGGAAACAGCAGACGCTTGCACACCCCTCCCTGGCCTTGGGTCTTAGCACTTGTGCATCCTGTGGCCTTTGTCCGGCTCTAACTAGTCTTGTCCTTTCTCTTCCTGAAGTCTGCTCTTCCATTTTCTTCTTCTGCTTCTCCCGCCCATGGTGATTTGGCTTTTTCATTTCAATCTAATTAGAGCACCCTGCCAGGAGAAGGCAGCGCAGGGCGTTCTCTCTGCAGTGCTTTGGGAATTAGTCACTCGGTGCCCATTGTCATTAATGGGAATTTGGCGCCAAGGCCATTCATCCTGGTGTCCTCAATCAATACAGTTAAAAATCTGTGGATTCGAAAATGTCAATACCCGGCCTGAAATATGGAGGGCCAGTACCATTTTATCTCGTTAATTTATAGTTCTGACGGGCTGTTGGCTTACGGAACAGCCATGAATCAACACTTAATCAAATCTGCTCACAGATTAATTATTTTTGGCGCTCTTGTTTCCGTCTACAATCTTCCTAACAAACGTCTCTGCTACATTAGGCACACAGGCAGCCTCAGGGAACACTGGCAGACACCACCCAGGCCCTGAGTGACTCCAACTTTGTCCGTGACCTGTCCTGCAAACCAGGATTGGTTGTCTCCTTCGAGTCCCCCTGGAGCTTGCTCAGCCCTGAGGGCCCCTCTTGCTGATTTCAGCTCCTTAGAGTTATCCTTCTCCTTCATGGTGGGTGGCAGCTCCTCCTGACAGTGGGGTGCCTTCTATTTGGGGTCTGAGGTGGGTGTGTAAATTAAACCCCACAGTTTAGCTTTCTGCAGAACTCTAGGCAGTCATGGCCAGGGACATCAGCCCTTCTCTCTAGGATGCTCACTGTCCTGACCTCCCCCCCTTATCTTGATGCCACTGTGTCTTTTGTTGGGGTCATGGTGGGTGGGAGGAATTGGCCAGGTGGAACTGCACCCTGCACGACTATTCCTTTTCTTTCTTTTTTTTTTTTTTTTTTAATTTTTTCGAGACAGGGTTTCTCTGTAGTTTTTGGTGCCTGTCCTGGAACTAGCTCTTGTAGACCAGGCTGGCCTCGAACCCACAGAGATCCGCCTGCCTCTGCCTCCCGAGTGCTGGGATTAAAGGCGTGCGCCACCACCGCCCGGTCGACTATTCCTTTTCTAAGATTTGTCTTCAGCCCCATCATATGACTAAGGATGATGCCATAGAGAAAGAGTGGTCTGCTGTCCAAGTTCTCGCTGTAGCCCTGGTGTCCCACATGCCATTAGGCCTATATTGAGCTGATACAGATAAATGGAGTAGGTCCTTTGCTTGGGCATCATGGTTAGTACCCCACTGGCCTGTGAGAACCCCATCTGTATTCCCATTTCTTTGATGTAGAACTGAGGCTTTGAGTGTTTGGTGACTTCTTGAAGTCACCCAACCAGTGGTGAAGCTGATATAGTTTGGGCTTATGGGGCTGGCAAAGGTGTCCTGTCGACACGTGGACTGGAATGGCCTCCCTTAACTGTCTTGGCAGGGTGCTCAGCTGCCTCCAGGTAGTGGCTCAACATCTGTAGAAAACAGGCTTTGGGAGAATGGAGTGCCCGAACGGTCTTGACTGACCCCTCTGATTAAGTGGTGGGCTGGAGGATGCTTCTTGAGCTGTGGACAGCTATGTTCCGGTATGAGCAGTGTTCCCCTTGACAGCTTCAGAGCACTTGGCGTAGGAAGAGTGAACAGTGTCCAAATGAAGGCCGCAGCGAAGAGCGCTGTCGGCTCCTGAGGTTTTGGAGGAGAGGCCATGAAAGAAGGCTCTGTGTTGGGTTAAGCCTCTGAAGTGGCACTAGCTCCCACTGGTGCTTGAAGCAAGTGCCGCACTGAAGCCAGAGCCTCTGTAGATTTTCAACCTCTGTGGCATACTCCAGGAGAACCTGCTTAGGGCCCTCATTGGCCCTGGAGACCAGGAAGAAAACAGTGTGTGCTGGCCGTGTCCCAGGTCTCAGTGGGTAGGGCCTGCTTTCAGACTGGCATTCTTTTCTATTTACCACTTTATGCCCAGTGAGGCTGCATCTAGGTCTAGCAGGGGCTGAGCTGATGATAGTCCCTGGCCCCTGTCCTTCAGGTACCCTCTTGCCCAGTGAACAGCTACCCTCCCACCACCCTTGTTTGCCATGTCACAAGCCCCTCTCTAACCCCCTTCTGTATGTGTCTGTCATCTGTGACCCCCTCTCCTGCAAGCTCCCCAAGCAGCTTTTCATTGGCCCCTCTCTGGAGAGGGTTTCTGCACCTCCATAAACCAATCTCATCTCATCCTTAGCTGGGAAGCTCATGCCAGCCCTCCTTATGAAGAAGGCAGCACCCAGGCCCTGGCACGATTTTATTAATTGGCACGGGCTCCCAGGAGCCGTGTTTCCCCTGTGTGTAGGCAGCAGCCATCAACGAGCAACTGGCCCTTCTTAGGTTAGGCTGCCTTTGTCGTCTGACCCTGGAGCTGAACGTGGCCGGGGCATGTTTGATTTCAGCATGGTTGGTTCTGTGTTTCAACAAAGCTGCTTATAGCTAAACACAGCTGGTTTGCAAGCTAACTTCCCACCCCCTAATTTTAAGAAATTCAGTTTAGTCCAGACAATTGAAAGTAGCTGGGCTCGGAAAAAGAGTGATAGCAACTGCCAGCCTCCTACAGCCGCCTTTCATTACTCTGGGGCTTGCTCCTGCCTTTGCTGCATCTTCTCTCAAAGCTACTCCTGAAGGGCAGTTTTGAGCCCAGTTTTATGGTAAGGATGCCAGGCTCTGAGCTACACTGCTGGTGAGTTCCAGAACCCTGCTAGTGGGCATGCCGACGAGGCCTACCTGGCCCTCAGCTGGCATCCTGCCAGTCCTCTGCCCACTTGCCAACATGGGCCCTGCTCCTGATACATGGAGGTTGATTTGAAAGTTAGCAAGCTTCTTTTCTCGTTAACTTTGAGTCAGGATGGTTAAATTTACAGCTGGCTGAATATTTCCCAGAGGATGAGTGTAACGATATTGATTTTAGCGAAATGAGTCATATGCCTGCTGCCTGGGAACACAGGCTCAATTACCACGAGCCAACAACATAAGCTTTCCCTTGTCAACATTTTTCCTACATGTTCATGAGTCTATGGCTAGCAACAAAGAGCTACAGAGAAGGAAAGGTCATGAGTAGCTGGCAGGTCTGGAGGTGGGGTGCAGACACAGGGACTTTAGGGTCACATAAGTTCAGTCACTGTCTGCATGGCTGGCCAGTAGGGCCAGATGTCCTTTCCCTTCCCAAACTCCCTTTCCTCAGCTCTGAGATGCAGGCTAATTCCTGCCATTGCCCATGACTGTGGTGTGCTAAGTGCAAGGTCCAGAGAGGCCTGAAGGACAGACTTACGGAACATATTGGTTCCCATCCCACTTGTGACCTCGCAATAACTTTGTTAAGGTGAGCTCTTGCAGAGGAACAGATGGCCCCTCTCTTTCCTAGGGATCAGCGCTTGGCTTTCATTAAACCTGAAATTCCATTGATGTGGCAGGAATGGTTGGGAACCAGACACACTGAATGGAAATGGAGGTCCTTTGGGGGCCCTGGAGCCTGCCTAACCGTAGTGTCCCCTCGTGCCGACGTTAGGCTGACAGATGATGTTACCCTGGTTACATGGGTGGCTACCTTTAGGGAAGCCTAATGGC